AATTCAATTACCCAAGTTTTACGATGGGCAACCCACAAGTAGGTTAGATTATCCACAGGTAGGTTTCCTCACAGCACCCATTTTTCATCCTTGGTACACAACTCCTAAATTGAAAACTAATTCATGAGAGTTTTTTTCAAAATATGCTCAATGCTTTTCCATGCCCAAATCTCTCTTCATTCTTTATATTTTTAGCAGTTGTCCACATTAGCCAAATTAGAACAATATTTAAAGAGCTATGTTTACAAAACAGAAAATGAACTCAAACCTGAAATAAATTTATCATGCAGAAATTTTGTCTGATATGCTAATTTTAGACTCATGGGATCTCTAAGCACATAACCCCTCACAAATTTATGGGGTCAACTGTATGTGTTAAGGTTGATTCCAACATTACATTTGTAGTAAACATATACAGAGAACTATTTATCCTCCTACAGGTTATCTTTGAACCTCTCACTCCCTCCAGTTCAACTTCCAGCTAGAGAGTCTGGAAGAACACCAAGACCCACACTTTCTGCCTCTATCACCCCAATTTTACAGTCTAAAGACAGCCAATCATTACCTTCGCTGCCTCACCTGTCAGATCATATGTCTCAGCTTCACAGCGTTCGATCCTTACCATCACCACCACTGCCTCCTCGAAAGCCTCCTCTCAACCTTTCATTTACTGAGGAACTGACAAGTCCACCAGTACCTCTTCGACCCTGTGTTCTGCCCAAACCATCCCTTGAGAGTCAGCCACCCTCAGAAACCAAACCACCTTTCGAAATCAAACCGCCTCTTGAAAGCAAACCTTCCCGCAGAACTGAAATGCCCATGGCAGCACATCTCCCAACACCAGACCTTTCACCACAGAATGCCATAGAAGCTGTCCAGTGTCATAGGGAAGAACAAATATATAGCACACCAAAGACAATGAAAGCAAAGCTCTTACCTTTGGTGGGGAAAAACAGGGGTGATGCAGTACATGCAAATACTTTTCCCAGCTTGTACACTGGCAATAGCACAAACATTTCTAGAGCCTCTGTGCCAGGTAGCAGTAATAAAGAAAAACGCATTTACAATGTAGCTGCTCCCTCCAACTGCTCAGCTACACCACAGCCCCCAGGGAGATCGTAAATCATCTTCAGGTGCTCTACCTTTTGCCCTCACACCACTGCAGCAGCTCCGGATAATGACTCAGAATGGCACTCTGAAGATGAAGACGACTTCAATTATGAGAACAATGAAACATACTGTACATTTTTAGGGATAAGTGTAAGAGAATCTGAACGAATTTACATGAAATCTTCAATGATACAACAACAGCCGGAGGAAACTGTCTCTTCACTGGAAGATGATCTTTGTTATTTCCTAAATAATGAATATGATTATATAAGTTGCATTGAACGAATTAAAAATGAAAGAAAGCTGCTTAATCCTGAGCTGCAGTATCTTCTTCGAGGGGCAGAAGCTTTGGCTGAAATTCACAATGATATGTATAGGGAAATGCATGATGGTTACAGGTCTTGCTCTAGAATTGCTTATGCATTTACCTCACGGAAGGATCAGTTGGAGCAATATGCGTATTACTTGATGAATGCACCAAAGATAATTACCCATGTAGAAGACTTGCCAGAGGGGATGAAAGTACTGCTTCCAACACTAAATGAGGATTTAAGAACCTCATGGAAGAGGCTTCACTTCTACTTCATGAGCTTGGAAAAGATGCTAAGCAGGGCCCCACTAGAGGACAGGGAAGCACTCCAAGAGGCTGTGGAAATGCTTCGAGATTTGAATCGTAAAGGGGATTCAGGTATTCTCTTAGATGGAGTCAAAGAGGCTCCTTTTGACCTTCTCCTTTATTGTCCTTTGATTCTACACAATGCCTTCAAAATTAAAGGCCCTTTAACAACAAAGGGCAAAACGGACTATCGTGTCTTATTGTTTCCAGATATAATTGTAGTGACGTTACCAAAGAAAGATCAGTATGAGTATCAAGAACACCTACTCATTAATCAGGTGAATTTTATAGCTGGCAACAGCATCAGCAACAAAGAATTTGATCTTGAAATAGTGCTTGGTGGGTCAAAGAGGAACAAAAAATACATGTTCCGGGCCCCCAGTGTGGAGGTCAGGGATGCCTGGGTGGATGAAATCACACGACTCCTCCATGTAAATGCAGAAAAAATTAAAACACTGGCCACAAAACGTTTTGGATATGCAGATGCAACTGAATGAAACTAAGATCTTAAATCTAAAAGTTACTTTTTCCCTTTTCTGAACAAAGAAAAGAATGCAACAACTTTAAAAGTGGATTTTAATAAAGTTGGTGGTAATTGTGGTAGATACAGTAGTTGTTCAGACACTGGTGTAGCCACTAACACATTTTACTCCTGTGTTAATACACAGTGTTTCATGCACTTGTGTTGACAATGCCTGGCAACCATAATGTCAGAGGCTTGGCAGATTTTGTTAGTTAAAAACTAGGAGCATTCAGGCAAATTATACCCGAAGATGGTAACTTGGGCATATTTTTAAGTGTTTGTGAGGAAGATACTGGTGTAAAAGAGTGCACCCTGGACACTGTACGATACTTAGATGTGGAACTGAACACTGACTGTTTGCTTAGTGTGTGAACTGCCTAAAGTCAAGGAATGTTCAAACAGTGAAATGCCAGGCATAAATGAGCAGTAAACTGCATTTAGAAGTGGCCACTTAACATTGGTGTTGTGACATTCTGTGCTATACTGTGCAGCACTGTGACCCTGTTGGGTTTACTGCTATCTTTTAAATATAAAACTAATGTACTATCCTATGTTATAAGAGTACCATGTTGTAAACTGTTTGACTAATTCTGATCTATATCAATAAATCCTATTTTTAATTGTGTTTGATTTACAAAGAGCCCCCTCTGATGTAACACTTGTATCAGGTGTGGGATTACAGTGACAAAGATGGTTGAATGAGAGACAGAGTTTACCAGAAATCAATACCAGTTAACAGAATCTGGTAAGAAGAAAATCTAAGCTTGGCTAGTGTGACTTGACATTATTAAGCAATTGAAGAAGCAGCAGTGACAGTATCAAGAACAGACTGTAGATAAGCAAAAACATGAATAAAGGTGCAGTGGCATTGCTAGGGTTAGTGTCACCTGGGGCGGCATCTTTAGTGCCATCCCCAAGAAATCCAAGGGCAAGGGGAAGGGGGGGAGTAAACTCCAGTTACGTCACTACTGCATACCCAATGACTATTATTTAGCAATGAGAACGTTTAAGGGCCATAAACCGAACAGGAGAATACTTTCCAACTTTATTAATGATAAAATAAATAATCATAGTAATATTGAGAAAACATAAACTCAAATACCACTTTGAGTACAGGCAACAGATCCTATATTTATTCATCTTCAACAATGCAAAAAAAAAAAAATTGAAAAATAAAGAAATACATTACAATATCAGAGAAACACTAGTTCCAATTTCACTTTGAGTACAGGTAACATCTCAATGAATCAGATCTTACATTTCCTTGCCTTCAATCCTGCAAAATCATCTATCACAACATCAAAATCAATGCTGTCAACTGATCCATTTTCTTTGGATAACATGGCTAAGTCAGAGATTCTGGATTCAATTCAATTCAATTCAATTCAAAGTTTATTCTCTATAAGTAAGTAAGTAAGTAAGTTTATTCAGGTATGCACAAATACAGTTACATAGAATTATCATACATAGCAGCATGTGTGTAGAGAACCTAGGACAACCCAAAAAAGTCAGACAGAGTGACTTATTTCCATTGGGGTCCTTTTACCTTATTATTATAATATAAAGGTTATAATATTTTCTTATTATTCTACAATGAAGATAACATCTTATTATCATACTAAAAAGACTATCTACTACACCAAGGTCATTAAGACTATCTACAATACGAGGGTCATTACTAGGAATAAGGTAAAAAATTTACACGTATGTTAGCTAAAAAATAGAAAATCATTCCCCTCCCTTTCTGTAGCTACATTCATCAGACACCTTTTGGCACTCTTCTTGAACTGGTTCATGCTATGACTGTCTTTGACATGTGCGGGCAGTCTGTTCCATTCCTTTATTGCTGTACAATAAAAGGTGTTTGAAGCCTGGCCACTGACTGTGGGTACTACAAAGTTGTGCTCTCTCCCCCTAGTACTATGATTGCTTTGGTTCCCAACCTTGACAAATTGACAGCAAGATATTCTGGGACACTGTTTGTGAGCAATTTATAAACATGATTTAGCTTCAGTTGTTTTACTCTGTCTTCAACATTCAGCATATCCAACTGCTGTAATTCATCCTGGCCTACATGTTTCTCTTGGTCCCAGCCCAGGATGAATCTTACGATTTTGTTCTGGGTGATTTGCAGTCTATCTTTCAGTTTTTTTTGTTCATGGCAGAGTACCAAGAAGAGCAAGCGTAATCCATATGGCATTGTATAAGGGCTAGACATAGGGTCCTGCGAGCCTCAGTAGGTAGACTCTGTGCTTGTCTATACAGGAACTTCAGTCTGGCATTCGCTTTCTTTACTACACTGTTCCCTATCAATTCTCTGACATGCATGGGTCAAAGGGGATTCCCAAATATTTTACTGATGAAACCAAAGTGATGGGCTCCCCCATTTACATGTAACATTAAAATTATTTACCCTTCTCAGTTTATGTTTCGTGCCAAAGAGAATGGCTTCAGTTTTCCTAGGTGTAATGATAGTTTGTTGTCTACTAACCATTTGCTGCAGGACTCCAGTTCCAGTGTTAAAACATTAGCAATATCTTGTGGGTCTTTACCTGACACTAACAGAGCACTGTCATCTGCATACAGTAGGAGTTTGCACTTGACACTGATAGGCATATCATTGACATAACATAAGAATAATAAGAGACCCAGAATACTACCTTGGGGAACTCCACATGTTATCGGCAGGGGTTCTGATTCTGTTTTGTTGATTTTGACTATTTGTCTCCTGTTGCTAAGGTAGGACTTAAACCAGTCTACAGAACCTATACCGATAGCTTGAAGTTTATTACATAATATATTTGTGGTTGACAGTATCGAAGGCCTTTTGCAGGTCTAAGGTTACCATACCTATGAGGTTCCCCTTTGACATTTCAGTTCTCAGGTAATCTATCAGATTAATAAGGGAAGTGTCGGTTGAGTAGGATCTTCTAAAGCCCGATTGATAGCTATGGAGAATGTTGTTGTCATTAGGTACTTAACTACTTGAGAATACACCGCCCCTCTCTAGAATTTTAGATATTATACTGAGTATACTAACAGGCCTATAGTTGCTTACATCAGACCTACTATTTTTCTTGAAGATAGGAGTAACTCTGGCCTCCTTGAACCCCTCCGGTACGGTATTAGTGTGATTGATAGATTTATTATGTGAGCAATAGGGATTGACAGTTCAGAAGCACCATCTTTTAGGAACTTAGACGGGATGTTATCAGGGCCTGTGCTCTTAGTTGGGTTTAACCTGCTTAGTTCTTTTTTAATAAAGTCATGAGATACACTTACTAGTTGACAACTGTTTGGGGTTACCCCTTTATTGGTATAGTATGTTTGAAACTTATCAGAGTCTGTGTTAAAGGTATTTGATGCAGCTGGTAGTTTACTTACTAGTGTTGATGCAACAGATGTGTAGTATGAATTAAAGCAATTTGCCACCTTAGATGTTTCGTGGCATACCTCATTATCGATAGTGAGTACTATGTTAGACTATCTACTGGCTTATGGCTATACCCCAACTGTTTTAGTTGTTGCCAGAGCTTTCTGGGGTTATGCTTATACTCATCAATTTTTGAGCAGTAGTGCTTTGCCTTTGCTCCTTTTATAAGTCTCTGTACTCTGTTCCTCACCCTTTGGAATTCATTTAGTGCTGCAATATCCTGTCTGTTTGCTTTTAAATCTTTTTAGCAGCTGGTCTCTGAATTTCATATTATCTAATATCTCAGTATTCATCCAGGGTTCAGTTCTTCGTTTAATCCTAACCTCTTTAACTGGTGCAATATTATCAAGGATGGTAGTGAACATTGTTTTGAATTTTTCCCAGGCATCGTTTACGTCCGTGCAACTTGTTATCTCTGTCCAGTCACAATTGTGTAGCCTATTTACCAGTGTTTCTTTACTGTAGTTTCTAGTTGACCTCATTTTTATTGTCCTGTGTAGGCCTATCCTATCCCTAGTGATTTTCCTGGTGCAGTAAATGATGAAATGATCACTAAGACCTGTGGTAATGACGCCTGACTGACTAATGTTCTCAGAGCGGTTACAAAGTATGTGGTCAATTAGATTACAATGTTGAATTTACAGAATTTGGTGGTTGTGTGGTTTACATGTCGTTAAATAATGATTACAGAGTGTACCACTAGAACGCCTTGCATGGCTAGGCATTTCGGGCAGACTTAGTTTAATTCTTTATTTTAAAATAATACAAATTATGAGGTAAGTTGGCATTATGGCTAAGTGACTAAATACTAGTTTGTGAGTTTAGCAATGTGAATGCTTTTGTTTTGGCACAGTACATAGTTTCAGTATTGGAGTATCATAGGATTCATTATTTTAAGATTGAGATTAATATTTCTGTTTATGGTCAAATGGGTGAGTGAGTGTAAGTGTGAACCACCAGGTGGTATTCGTGTAGTTAGTTGATGGGGTTTATCAGGGAGATAAGATGTTTTCTAATGGTAGTTTTGAAGGTGATGAATGTGTCTGCAGTTCTAGAGTTCTCAGGTAGGGTATTCCAGATTTTAGGGCCTTTGACATACATTGAATTTTTGTAAAGGTTTAGTCGGACACGGGGAATGTCGTAGAGATGTTTGTGTCTGGTGTTATGCCTGTGGGTTCTGTCACAACTATCAAGAAAACGTTTTAGGTCAAGGTTGATATTAGAGTTTAAGGCCCTGTAGATGTAGATTGCACAGTAAGTAAGTGTGGATGTACTGAACTGGGAGTAAGTTTAGGTCTATGAAGAGTGGGGGGGGGGGGTGTTGCCAGGGATGGGATTTAGTGATTATTCTTACTGCAGCTTTTTGTTGGGTTATTATGGCTTTAGGTGAGTTGCTGCAGTTGATCCCCAAGCACAAATAGCATAGGTGAGGTATGGATAAATAAGTGAGTGGTATAGTGTGAGAAGGGCATTTTGCGGCACGTAGTATCGTATCTTGGAGAGGATCCCAACCGTTTTGGATACTTTTTTGGTTATATGCTGGATATGGGTGCTGAAATTCAGGTTGTTGTCAAGGTATAAGCCTAGGAATTTGCCCCCATTATTTCTGGTAATTAGAGTGTTGTCAATCTTAATGTTAATTTGTGCATCTCCTGCTCTGCTTACCAAACATAATATAGTAGGTTTTGTCAGTGTTAAGCGTAAGTTTATTGGCTGTCATCCAAGTCGATATTTTGATCAGCTCCTCGTTAACAATGGTGTTGAGGGTGGCAAGATTAGGGTGAGAGATGACATAAGTCGTGTCGTCAGCAAAGAGAATGGGTTTCAGGTGTTGGGATATGTTTGGAAGATCATTGATGTATATGAGGAAGAGCAGGGGACCAAGGACACTTCCCTGCGGAACTCCAGTATCAAGTGGCCGTGTTGTTGATGCTGTGTCTTTAATGGTAACATACTGATACCTATTAGTAAGGTAAGATTTTAAATAAGCAAGCGCATGGCCTCTTATACCGTAATGGTCAAGTTTGTGGAGTAGGATGTCGTGGTCTACCGTGTCAAAAGCTTTTCTTAGGTCAATAAAAATTCCTAGTGGATATTCCTTATTTTTCCAATGCTGTGTAAAGCAGATCTAGCATTTTTATGATTGCATCATTAGTGCTTTTATTTTTCCTAAATCCAAATTGGCAG